GGCTCCAGCTGCTGCAGCGTGGCCAGCACGAACACCATGATCTCCCCCGGGACCCCTCCCCAGCCCCATCCCCAGCCCCCTGAGACCCCTCCCCAAATTCCCGGACCCCCCAGACCCCTCCCCACTGACCTGGCCGGTGACGGGCTCCAGCTGCTGCAGCGTGGCCAGCACGAACACGGCTGTCTTGCCCATGCCCGACTTGGCCTGGCACAGCACGTCCATGCCCAGGATGGCCTGGGGGATGCACTCGTGCTGGACTGGGGGGGGGGACAGCGTCAGGGACCCCCAGGGACCACCAGGGACCCCCACAGACCCCCAGAGACCCCTGGGACGGGTCAGGGACCGCCAGGGACCCCCAGGATGGGTCAGGGACCCCTGGGATGGGTCAGGGACCCCCAGAGACCACCAGAGACCCCCAGGATGGGTCAGGGACCCCCAGGGACCCCCAGGATGGCCTGGGGGATGCACTCGTGCTGGACTGGGGGGGGGGACAGGGTCAGGGACCCCCAGGGACCCCCAGGGACCACCAGAGACCACCAGGATGGGTCAGGGACCCCTGGGATGGGTCAGGGACCCCCAGGGACCACCAGAGACCCCCAGGATGGGTCAGGGACCCCCAGGGACCCCCAAAGGCCCCAGAATGGTCCCAAACCCCCCTAGAACGGTCCCAAACTTGGTAGCCCCCCTAGCCCCTCGGGTGGCCACCTTCGGAGGGGTGCTCGAAGCCCCCCAAACCCCCCCAGAATGGCCCCAAACCCCCCCAGGATGATCCCAAACCCCCCCAGGATGGTCCCAAACCCCCCAAACTCACTCGCCCCCCTAGCCCCTTGGGTGGCCACCTTCAGAGGGGTGCTCGAAGCCCCCCAAACCCCCCCAGAATGGCCCCAAACCCCCCCAAGATGCTCCCAAACCCCCCAAACTCGGTAGCCCCCCCATCCCCTCGGGTGGCCACCTTCGGAGGGGTGCTCAAAGGCCCTGAAACCCCCCTAGAACCCCCCAGAATGGCCCCAAACCCCCCCAGAATGGCCCCAAACCCCCCCAGGATGGTCCCAAACCCCCCCAGGATGCTCCCAAACCCCCCAAACTCGGTAGCCCCCCTATCCCCTTGGGTGGCCACCTTCGGAGGGGTGCTCGAAGCCCCCCAAACCCCCCAAACCCTCACTAGCCCCCC